ACACCTTTGCTGTCGCCATGTACCTCATCCGTCAGCAGCGGAACCGAAAAGATATGCCACTGCCTACGTCTTTGCCGCCGAACCTGATTCCTCCCTCACTACGAACCCAGGCGCAGCCACAAGCCCCTCCTCAACTTGCGCCGTCACCCTTCGATCCGCCTGCCCCTGCGCCCGTGCCCGCGCCTGTAGTTGCTCAACCCCCTCCGCCCCCTCCACAGCCCAAGTCTGCTATCGACGATCTTTTCGGCCTCGACGCTATGCCGGGCCCGGCCCCTAGCCAATCTGCCCTGTCCCCTCAGGGCACTGGCGGATCCAGAGGTGGTGCAGGCCCCAGGGATCCTTTCGGCGGGCGGCCAGCTTCGGCAAATCAGGCATCTCCTACTGGCAAGTCCTTCGCGCCATTCATCCCTTCCTCGTCATTTGGCAGGAACTTGACAGCCCATGATACGGGGGGTTCCGCTGCTTCGTCCCAGAAGCCGCCGGCGGAGGATCTGCTGGGCGACAACGACCCGGAAATCAGTAAGAAGCTCACGAACGAAAGCACTGAATTGGCGAACCTCTCCAATCAGATTGGTTCTTTGTCGAAGCAGATGCAGAACGTGCAAGGACAGCGAGCTTCTACTCAGAACGAGATCACCCAGGCCAGCGAGCAGAAGAAGAACTTTGAGCAGCGTCTCTCTCAGCTACGTACCTTGTACGAAAAAGAGGCTGAGGATGTCCGAACCCTCGAAGAGCAGTTGAGGACCGTCCGCGAAGAAACCAGGAAGCTCACCAGCGAAATGGTCTCCCTTGACGGAACGTACAAGGACCTGCAGACGCAGCACCAGCAGCTCTACCAGGCTTTCTCTGCTGACCAGCAGGAGAACCAAAATCTCAAGCAGCGTATTAGTGTGGTGAATCAGGAAATCGCCCAACTAAAACCGCAGATTGAGAAGCTCAAATCTGACGCCCGACAGCAGAAGGGTATGGTTGCCATCAACAAGAAGCAGCTTTCTTCGGTCGAGGAGCACCGCGACAAGATGCATGGCGAGATTGAAGGCCTCACCAAGAGTAACGAGGATGTAACTCCTCAGACTAGTACGTCGCCAGTCGCTGCGCCTGCTCAGGTGGCAAGCCCAGCCCCGTCTACTACTAGTGCGAACAACCCCTTCTTCCGGAGGACGGGAAGTGCAGACATCATGGGTGCTATGGCATCGTCACCTCCTGTCAAGCCTTACGGCGAGAAGTCGTTCGATGATATCTTCGGTCCCAGCAGCTCAGGCACACCCCCGCCCATGACATCCTTCAAGCAGCAGAACACCGGGACCTCATCAGCAAGTGTTGGATCTGGATCATTCGCTACTCCACAGGGCTCGACACCTACCGTCCCACGTGCTGGTGGAATGGAGCCCCCGCCGGCCCCCGAGTCTCGGCAGATCAGCTCCAGCTTCCTGCCGTTCGGTGAGACTGGAGACTCGTTGACGTCGTCGCGTCAAGTGTCACCGCCCCTCAGCCGAACTGGCGATGGACCGGCTGCTACACCGCTGGAGCCTGCGACCACGGGCCAGAGCGCCGCATCTGCTTCGGACGCCCACAAGAGTACTCTCGCGCCTCCATTTGAGCAGAGACCAGCTTCTGCTGCCGCCAATGGCTCTGTTCCCGGGGCATTCCCTGACGACCCGAAGGCAAACCTTCCAACTAGGCCCTTCACCAGTCACCGAGATAGCGACCCATTTGGGCACATGAAGGACAACAGTGGTAACGCGAAGATCGATTTCGACTCGGCTTTTGCTGGGTTCGAGCCGCAGAAGAAGTCTACAGCTGACCCGGTCAACAACTTCAACCAAGAGTTCCCGCCAATTTCCGAGCTCCAGCGTGACGACGACTCGGATTCGGCCAGTGAGGGCAACGGATTCGACGACGATTTCGCCCCTACCTCGCCGCCGACCAAAAAGGCCGACGACAATGAGACTCCTCACGCTCCCTCCTCGCCCGCCACTACTAAACCCGTGGGCACATCCTCCGACGACGCGGCTACGGCACAAGCGACTCAGCCCTCGAAGTATGATCTCCTGAGATTTTAGCGCGTGTTCCCTCCATGCTGATACTAACCCAAGCTTAAGTGACCTCTCTGCTTTCCCTTCGCCTCCTAAGGTATCGCCCACTGCGCCGGCTCAGGCGAAGGAGCAAGACCCGTTCGGATCCGCGGCGAACAATGCGCCTGCGGCTCCCAAAGGTGCTTTTGATGATCTAGACGATGACTTTGAAGGCCTCGAGGATGCCAAGGAAGGCTCGGCGGACGACGAATTCGCCAACATCTCGCGCGATGATTTCAACCCCGTTTTTGACGGCAGCCCGCCACCCAGTCAACCCAAGAGTGAGTCTACCAACGTGTCCACTGCGTTCGGGACGAACAGCAGCTATGACTTTGGCAACGTCTCTACGACGTCGGCCGCCACTCAGGGCGGAGCCGGTGCTCCTGCGAACAACTCTACTGCGACTGGTGGTACCACGGCTGGCCAACCCCCCGCAACCGCGGACAACCAGGACTGGGACGCCATTTTCGCGAGCCTGGACTCTCCCACCGAGGCCGCGACTCCGCGGAAGAGCGGCGACGACTCCAAGAGTCCCGTCCAGCAGAGCGCCGGCTCCCCGCGGCCGGAAACACTGGGCAGAGCGCTGACGGAAGAAGGCAAGCACGATGATCCCATAGTCAAGGAGCTCACCAGCATGGGTTACTCCCGGAACGACGCTGTGGATGCCCTGGAGAAGCACAACTACAACCTCGAGCGGGTAAGATCAAGTATACGAATCTGTATGAGGGGTAAAGGATGCTAACGAAAACATAGGCGGCCAATTACCTGGCGAGCCGATCCTGAACTTTCTCATGACCAGTCATATCCATCTCAGTGGCCTCTCTACGTGGACGAGAACACAGCGGGCTCTACGGCGACGAGAACGCATTCTTTCCTTTCTAGCCATTTCTTTGCAGCAGATACCTCACTTGCATGAGCGGCGAGCCGGGAGCTGAGCTTTGCTGTTGTAGCGGGTGGGAAGAAGACAGCGGATAGGAGAGGACAGACAGACTGAATGAAAGACTTAATGTATAGTTTTCTTCTGTAAGTATTTGGCTGCAGTGAATACATCGAGGACACCTGCTCTCAGTGCGTGCTGTCGTAGGGTTATTGTTCCTTCGGCTTCCCTTCTCTCGTCGCCTCCCCAATGAGTAAAGTACCTACGCCTGGAACCGAAGAATTGCTCTCCAGGCACCTTTCAATATATATGTGATCTGCCTTCCCATTGAAAAAGTTGGAGCTACGATCCCACGAGACCTACATCCAAAGCCACCCGGCTCCCCTGCTGAAGATAGGTGACTATCTTGTACAGCGAATTGCCACTGCTGTCCTGAGAAATGGATGATTCTGTGAGCGCGCGATTTGACTGCCCGAGCCACGATGCTGGTTAGACGTGATCACCGAGTGGGAGAAGGCATAAGCTGGGTCCGGATACATGCCTAGCAATAAACAGCCCAACGAACGCACTACGTTGACATCGAAAATTGACAACAGCGCACACGTATATACGGGGAAGTCTCAAGCACGATGTAAACGCCAATTTGGTGTGAACGCAGTCCATTACCGAAGAGGAAGTGGTTGGCCCGGCGCCACACATTGCGAGCATTTCAAACGAGCATCATTACTACGGACATAAAAATGTGGTTGCCATGATCAACCTCAGGTCTGCGAGAGCACCGGTTGCTGTAATAGACGATCGCAAAACAAAAAGAAATCAAGGAGACTCGCAATAGCCGACGGCAAGGAAGGAAAACGGAAAAGATGACGAAAAGATAAGCAAAAAGAGAAGGTATAATCGGAGGAATTGAACCTCTGAAAGCTGGACTCGCGGGGAATCGAACCCCGGACCACTCCCATGCTAAGGGAGTATTATACCACTAAACCACAAGCCCCGCAAATTGTATCCAATCGTGTTGAATCCCAATGCATTGGAATAGCCGTTTGGTATTGGGTATTAAGTTAGTCTTCCGGCAGCCTGGAGCTTGTGGGGGAATGTGTCAGGGCTTCGGCAGCGGTGGGACAGAAAGATTTCCGGATATCGCGCGCGTACCAAGTACGGATGGTGGATATTTTGCAGACTCAAGCGATTCGCTGGGGTGGGGCTCGCGCGGCGGAAACTGGGCCGGCGGTGTGCGGATCCTGCTTTCTGAGCCCAGATGCCAAACTAGTTGCAGTGAGCCACGGGTGTGCTCACTTCGAATGTCCAACAGCGCGTTCATAGAGTCGGCCGCTTTCGGCTGTTTGCGCAGACTCGGCTGCAGCGTGACATTCGATGGCGATCTCCCAAGTAACCTCGTTCTGTCAATACCTTACCTTAGGTATGCCAACGTCAACAAGACTGCCAAGGAAAGCTGCGTTGCGAATAGTCGGCGCGTAGGAGTATTGGTTCGCCAGCATATCACCTTCCAATGGTGCCCCTCCCTCCAGTGTTGTTGCGCTGCCCGGCACGTCCCGCTCTACGGCAGCTGTTTCCGACACATGCAAGCCATCCATGTTCTTGTCCGCGAACGGATACCTTCAGGAGACTTTGGTCCTTCTCCAGAATCGCAGAACGGCATTGGGGAATACCGCTGAGTGGGGATGCTCTCTGCGTGCCCTCCAAGCCGACTTTCTCGATCCATATGGGGGACGATGCCAGCCTATCAATCACTCGCCGAGCCTTGAATCCTATCACGCACTTCGAAGAAGGCAAATGTTCTCTCTGACTTGTTCCTCGTGGCTCTACGGATATGCTCCCAGAATTCCATTTTCTCGCAAAATGCAACAGTGTTGCGGTATCAGGGAGAAGATCCACTCCTTGTGGCACTTCAAGCCCTTATGGTCTGGCGCTAACTTTCCACGCACAGTGAATATCTGCCATCACGCAGCGAAAGGAATATGAGCGCCGTTGGACACTGAGGAGCATTCCATCCAGTAATCCAGCCTTGATTACTTTACCAAAACCAAGGGCGTGTGGCCAAGGGGTATGGCGTCTGCTTTGCAACGCAAAAACTGCAGAAGATCCAGGGTTCAAATCCCTGCTCGTCCATACTTTTGCCGTTGCGTTGGCACCGGCACAACTCTATCTTCTTCCCTTCCTTGTTCATTTCAAAATTTTGAATTTTTTTTTTCTTCTTCAAAGTCGTCGGTACCAGCCGGAGCGATACAGTACCTAGGTGTGATTGATGTGTGCACTTTGTGCTTCGAAGTTGCATCATCGAGTGTTGAACTTCTTCAGTAGTTTCAGACCCGAATACTGATAGCGCCTTGTGGTTGTCTAAGACCAAAGGAGCAAGTGCACATGGGAGCTGCACTAGGGAAACCGAGAACAATGCACAAAGCATTATTCAACCACTCCAAGCGACATTGTTCGTATGTCGTACTCGATGCTGCTGTTGGATGGCGAGTTGCTCGTGTGGGAAATCAAGGGTATTGCGCAACACAGGTTGAAACGGCCCAAGTCATACCCACCACCACGTCTCGTCAAAATTCAGATACTTTGTTGATCTGCCATCGGATGGCATTTCATACCCCGCCTCCAACGTTGATCAAGTCGAATTCCTTCAATTGGCTGGCGGTATGGCTCCATTGGCGTGGCAAGCCTGCCTGCGTGCAAGATACGGATCGACCGCACCGACTCGTCGGTCCCATCCGTGAGATCCTGGATGGAAGTCCTGGGCATCAGAAACTCAACATACTTCGGTGCCGTGGCCCGTACCTACCAAGGCCTACCTGGGTAAGTAGTCAGCCCCATCAGGGAGCGGGTGTTTCGTCTAGACTTGATGTTCTCGAAGTGATCGCATCGGTAGCTTCCATAACGGCTCAACCTAAGGTTTAAAGGGCGGAGGGCAACAGAGTTCTGGTTGATGTCACTGCCCACCCAGCCGGGTACCTACCTACAAGGAAATGTCCGAACGACAAGAGACAGAGGTGTGTACAGAGGCAGCGGCATCACCGACTTTGTTATTAATACTATGCCATCCTATACCAGCCAAGGCTTGTCAGAGAAAGAGGATGCATACGAGGGGCGCATCCACAGTCAACCTGAGAGATGCAGCGATGTTGTTGTTGCGGTGGCAGGTGGAGTGGGCAGTGAATGACACGACTGAGCCAACCCCTATCATAGCCGCAAGGGACAACGGGGTTGACGGGTTTGATCCTTAAGCACGATCCTCGGAACCCCTGAATCGCCTTACCAACTGGGTTTAGCGAGCGGTCCAGCGCCACCGATCCCCGACAAGGTGTCACCGTTTGTTGACCGTCTCAGCGGCCTAGCCAGCTGTTGGCGCGTCCGGCAACACACAAGCGCCGCACTTTCGGGGGGTAAACGCTGCTTTTAGGGGGGCCCTGCAGGGGGGCAATGGGGGGGCAGTCTCTAGCGCCTACGCACCTACCGAGCCTACAGCAGGCTCACTGGCTGCTCACTGGCTTGACTGGCCAGCGAAGCCCACTCAACTGGATTCCAAGACTTCCAGTCAGCCCACCGCTGGCAACGCTGGCAACTGCTCTACCCCGAACCTCGTCCACGGCCACGGGTGTACCTACTTACATGCTAAGGTACGGAGCACTCCCACCAACAACTTTACTGTTCGTGAATCCAGCATTTGCCTACCTTTACCTTTGACCAGATCTTGACCTACCTACCTTACGAACAAACAACCTTTCCTGCTTGACACCGTGTTACTGTACCTGGATCAGGTACCACCAGCCGGAGCACGAGCACGACCACAGCACCACAGCATCACGGACGGTCTGCCCTAATACTGTACCTTCAATCTTTCTTCTTTCATGCCCGCCAACCCGCATCTCCGCTGTACTGCGCAGAACGATCGACCACGACCAACTCCCAACCTGTTTCGTCTCGTCTAATCCAGTCCCCTAACCGGCGACTAACAGCAGTCCTCGTCACCCTCGCCCATTGATTCACCACCCACCAAGCTTCCAACACGCGCCCACGAGCTACGTTGCATTGTCTACGACTCCCCGTGACCTGCAGTGCACCCTGTATTTCCATGGCTTGATCTCCTTAGATACCACCCTACGAACCATCCTCCGCCACTTCTCCTCGATCGACCCAAGAAAAGGACTATATCGTCCCCGATAACCCGGCTCTTTCTTCTCCCAATCCAGCTCCGGCTGCCAACATGTCGACTCTGCACGAGCAACCGGCCTCTCCTGTGGTCACCTCTCCTATGATCGCACCTCGCGCCCCGGACTCTCCAGCTGCTTCGGATACCGAAAAAGACACGGTACGTAGTGCACGGGAGGTTTAATGCCGATGACCAGGTCCGCTCGGAGACATATCATCTGGCGAACCGACAGGCCCTGCCATTCTCCTGATAGGCCACAACATCGCGCTAATCGCACCTGCATAAACAGGACACCTTCGAAGATGCCATCGACACAAGCTCGGTCCGCTCTTTGACAAAGCGCAGTATCTCACAATCCAAGTCTCCGCGACCTGTCAGCGACGATACGCAAGGTAGCGTGGATGCACCCCCGAGCCCAGTTGCTTCCGAGAAGCCCTCAGAGAAGCTGCCCGAGAAACCCTCAGAGACAACCCTCGAGGACAAAGTAAACGACACAGAGGAAAACGTGAACGGCACCGAGGACAAAGTGAATGGCACAGCGGAGACAGCAAATGACACCGAGGAGAAGATAAACGGCACTACCACTGAACACGCAACTGAGCACACGGTGAATGGCACCGAGACAGTAAATGGCACTGAGGAGACCGTGATTGGCACAGACGAGAAGGTCAACGGCACAGAGGAAAAGGTCAACGGCACAACCGCTGCACACACAACCGAACAGACGGTAGAGCAGACGGAAGAGCAGACGGTACAGGACGCGGGACACTTGAACGGCGTTCCACTGGAGAACAGTGCGCCTAGTGTGACCGACTCTGCAGGGTCGTCGAAGCACATGTCCAATGTGTCCTTAGACAACGTGGATCTGGACGACGACGACATAGCTCCGGCTGTACCGCCCAAAGGTCAGTATTTGCAACCTGATTGATTTGGTGTCCTATATGCTAATGCATCCACAGAGGAACCTCGTGTTGAAGAGCCAGTCCCAGAGAAGCTCCCCAAGAAGAAGATATCTCTGAGCAACATCGCCAGCTCGCTTCCCTCTATGCCCTGGTCTCCCGGGAATACCGAGTCGCCCCCTAAAGCAAGCCCCAACCCCGCAACGGATTCGATTGCGCCTCCACCTCCACCAACGCGCAAGATCACCAGCCCCTTCTCCTGGCTGTCCCGAAACTCAACGCAAAAGGATAGCACAAAATCATCCCCTTCCGTTGCCAACTCGAGGCGGAACACCGCGAGCTCTGTAGCCACCCTTATGAGCAATCCTGAGATGATGCTAAGCAAGCTCGATGAGGAGCACGAGGGTGCCGGCGTGAATGGCGCACGCCGTCCCGCTCGGAATAGCTTGAAAGACAGGTTTAAGATGGTGCGCATGCGAGAGGAGGCCGGTATTTCCATGTCCGAGGATGGCACCAGTGCCATCATGAGTATAGCCTCTCCTACAACAACCGTGGGCGTCATGAGCCCTACTCTGGAGCCCGGCCAAGATGGGAACCTACCCCCGACATCGCCACTCCCACCAAACTCCGATGCAGCCCTTGCACCCGGGACTGTGTCGGGTGTTGTGGCGGGGCCGTCAGATATGGCCGATACCCAAGTCGACTGGGACCTTTGGCAGTCCGTTGTTTATGAAGGACCGGCTGCTGTCGCAAGAACAAGCGCAGAAGAGCTCAACAGAGCCATTGCCACAGGTATACCTAATGTAATTCGGGGAGTTGTCTGGCAAGTCTTTGCACAGAGTAAGAACGAAGACCTGGAGATGGTCTACAGAGATCTGGTTTCTCGCGGCACCGAAAAGGAAAATAAGAACAGGAACAGTGCGGCAACATCGGCCAGCTTTTCAAGCACCAGTGCCCCAAATACCGACAAGGAGCCCACTGCTTCTTCCGCTTCTTCGGTTTCCGAAGCTTCTGGGGGTAGCAAGAAATCGCCGGGCACGCCACCCGAGACTTCCGAGGCCGTGTTCAAGTCCCAAACCATGACTCCAGAGGAACGGAAGAAGAAGGAAAAGGAAGACGTGGCCAGCATCTCGAGGCTCGAGAAGACAATCAAAAAAGATGTGGGGCAACGGACGAGCTACTCGAAGTACGCTGCCGCTGCCGGGCTTCAGGATGGGCTCTTTGGCGTGTGCAAGGCTTATGCGTTGTTCGATGAAGCTGTTGGGTACGCGCAAGGCATGAACTTCTTGATCATGCCACTGCTGTTCAACATGCCCGAAGAGGAAGCATTCAGTCTTCTGGTCAAACTCATGAACCAGTACAAGCTCCGCGATCTTTTCGTCCAGGACATGCCAGGCCTCCACATGCACCTCTACCAGTTTGAACGACTGCTGGAAGACCTCGAGCCCGCTCTCTACTGCCACTTGCACCGCCGAGGCATCTCCTCCCACCTTTACGCGACACAGTGGTTTCTCACTCTCTTCGCATACCGATTCCCGCTCCAGCTGGTTCTACGAATCTACGATCTCATTCTTTCGGAAGGGTTGTCTGCTATTATCAGATTCGGCATTGTTCTGATGCAGAAGAACGCCTCGACCCTGCTCGAAATGACTGACATGGGGCAGTTGACTGGCTTCCTTAAAGACAAGCTCTTCGATGTGTATATCGATCAGTCACCCAGCGCTGGAAGTCTCCTTGAAAACGGCTTCTTTGGTAGCAGCTCTGCCAGTGTCGATAAAGAGGTATATCGGGCCGACCAACTTGTTCGCGACGCGTGTGAGGTGAAGATGACGCCTGAGCTTCTCAAGGCCTATCAATTGGAGTGGGAAGAAAAGACGGCGGCCGAGAAGGCACAGCAAAAGGAACTCGAGGAATTGAGGACCACGACGGCAAAGCAAGCAATCAAGATCCGCAAGCTAGAAGAGCGTATCGAGATGAGCGATCGCGAGGCAGCCGACATGGCGACCGACCTAGTCCACACGAAAGTCGAGAACGAAGAGCTCAAGGATAAGAACGAGAGT